TGTTACCAGATTAGCTTTACTGCTACATCCCTCCTCCTTTATCCTCTATCAGTATCCATGAAATTATTCCAATATAAAGATTTACTGAATGTAACTATACTGATGTGCATACTTACTGGAGTGTGACCGTAAAAAATGATGGTGATAATGTACTGTTGTAAATATGCTCAACTCTGTGGCAGTTAGGAAGGCATGCTACACCTTGTCTCCTACTCATTTCTTCTACTTATGCAGATGTTCCTCTTCCTCATAGTGTGGCTTCCTGTTGTGGTGCATGGCTCCAAGTCCTTCCAATGGGGCAGAGTTTATCTATCATCGAATTATCCGGCCTTTCTTCCTGAAGCATGAAGCTCAGCTTGACAGCGTTGTTAAAGATCTGACAGACAAGGCTGCAGAGACTGCAGATACCATTGCTAAAGAAGGTGAGGAAAAGACCATTCACTAATCACATTAAACAGGAGGAATTTTGCAGGGCAACTCTAATATTAGAGTTAATATTCATCCTTTTGGTGGAGAAAACGTAAGAAGACGATAGAAATTACAATGAAGAAGTTAAATTTGGGTGAAGATGCTAGGAAAAGAGGATTGTGGTGGATCTTTATAGAAGTGCTGTGTGCTAGAATGAATGCAAGCTCTGTGAGTGGAGAACATGGTTAGTTAGTTTGTGTGTCTTCCCACCATACAAATGACTATTAACAATCTCTCCAGAGGCAGGCCCATACATCCTTGCAGGGTACCTTCCACAAATACAGTTACTGCTTAAGTTATTGTCGCCTTATTAAGTTACTGTCTTCTATACTACCAGGTATTTGGAAGACCTTTGGAAGTATAGAAGAGCTGCCAATTGTGTAGTAAAGCAAATCCTTTAACTCCAATAAACAGCAACATGGGAAATGAAGTTTTCCCATCTGTAAGTTTTTGTACTTTTTCTTCCTCTGGAGATCCAAGGAATCTGAGCCCACTCGAAATTATTTAGGATTTTATTTGATAAGAATAAATGTTATCATAGCCCGTAGGTTGCTGAATCTTTGCTTTTATTTCCTTGCAGTCTGTAGTGGACCCTCATACTCTAAAATGTCTGATGATAGTTTTATGAATGAGAGAAGGAAGTGTATTAAGTAGCTAAAAGAAAGGTGTATTTAAATTAAATTTGAAAGGTAATTTGTAAGGTATTTCAAAGCACTTTAAGTCTCTGTTCTCCCAAACAATGCATGCAGTCTCATATCCTCTTACCAACTTAAGCAGTTTTCCTGTCAGTGCTTAAATGATCTTCCTTTTTCAACTACGCTTGGAAATTTTGCTGCATGACCTTCCTGAATCACTGTTTTTAGACAGGTATCTTAAGCAACATTCTTCCATGTTGTACAAGGGATTTTTCTCTCCTCATTCCATCACTTATTCTTTTTTCTATTTCTTACATAGAAAGATTTTCACATACATGTATTTTTTAAGAAATCATGCACATAGGTATGCATGTACACATACAGAGATTAGTGTTATTCCAGCCCTATTTCATCAGCTTGGTAGTACATTTCTTGCTGTAAACCTCTATGTCCTAAACCTTATGAAAAGCTCTGTGTGACTGACAACTGTGACATCAATAAGTCTTTGTTCATTGTTCTATCCTTGCTTATGGTTTATTTTTTAAATCTTAATATGATTAGTTTTATCACTGTATGTGTATACAAAAGCTATGATTTCTTCTGTGATGTTTTGTTTGTGACTTAAAAGGATATCTTTTTTTTTT